AGGGGCGCACAGGGCAGTAGTGCCGCACAAAGGCCAACCCTGCAGCCACAGCCCACTGGCAGCTGGCCCAGAGGGGTAGGTGCCTCTATTGGCTTTGCAGTCCCTATTGAGGTCTGGCAGGTGCACAGCAGGTCACAGCCAGGCAGCAGCCCCCACTGCCAGACTGCTGCATTGGGTAAAGGGTGCAGGGAACTCTCAGGGATGCTTCAGCAGTCCAGCTGGCACAAGGAGTAGTGTCCCTAGGTACCAATTGACTGGGCCCCAAAGCTCCTAAGAGTGAGTAGCCCCGAGCTACTTGCCAGGCCAGCTTTTTGTATGGATGGGGCCAGGACAAGGCAGCTTTTTATACTGCTGGGGACAGCACAGGTGCTGGCCCCGGGCTCTAGCTCCCCCTGGTGGCAGATCCAGGAAAAGCCAAGCAGGGTTATTTTGCCCCAAATGGCACAATTTGCCTCATATCAAAGTGCATGTCCGGGCATATGTGCTGAGGCAAAACGCCCCGGCTCAAATTTGCACCACTTCTATTTGAGCTGCTGCAAGTGCTTGCATGTGTGGATGCGTCCCAAGTGTCCATGGTGCTGTCTTTCAGCCTGGTCCAGTGGGAAGGAGGATAGGTAAATGAAGATTTAAAACCAGATGAGCAAAAGAACATTATCCTTCAGTCACTATGGCAGAGAGAAAGCTAACTCTCAGGATAACTAGCCATTCTATTTTCTGTGCTGTTTAACTGTTTCTTTAATTGATTTGGATGTTTAACTGCAGTTAGCTAATTCAAAGTGATTTCTATATATGGTCATGCTGTTCCAACGTAACCATTATTTATGATCAATAGGTCATTGACTAATACACTCCTCCCTCACACACACACACCAAGTACTCATGTTTATGGTCCAGCATCAATCATTTTCTATTTTGCTTGTTTCTTAATTTTTTTTCTCAGAGGTCCATTGTGAGCAGAATGTAATCTTGTGATGAGAGTCTATGCACGGGTAATTGTGTTAATGTTTCAAAATGACGAATCTTCAAATAGGACATGGAGTAGATTAAGACTATACTGAATCCAGTCCACCAAAACTTAGTCCTGCATCCATGCTGAAGAAGTCACAGACCTTCCAGCCATTGTTATCATTCCCATTTCTTTTCAATTTTACATTGCAACATAACATTAGGAGCTCAGCTTCCTAATGTCAATTTACCTAACTAATTTATTATGTCGCCATGGTAAACTTTCTTCCCGGATCTTGCACTAGCAGCAGATAGTCGATTTCAAGGTCTTAGATCTCAAGGATTCTAGTTTATTCCTTGCTTGACACTGAGTTCAGTGTAGAGGTAGGGAACTTTCGGCAGTATGTAACCCATCCTTACCCCATTCACATCTATACAGGATTAACTCATGTTCACAAAGTCCTATGCCAGCAAGTACTAGAATTACAGCAGAAATTTAAACTGATGCTTGGGATGATCCAAACTCCTGGTAAAGAACAGGGAAGGGAACTTCCTAAACTATTACAATATGTAACTAAATCTGCACAACCTCATCTACCCCTTTGGCAGATTATCCCCTGAGCTCATCCAGAAGTCACCTTACTGGGCATGTCTACACGAGATGCATTAATACACATTAGCCTAATTTATTTCATGGTACAGGCATGCGTCTGCATGTGTGCACCCTTACTGTGTAGTAAAAATGGCTAATTGTGACTAATTTTGATACTTGCAAATGCAGGTATCAAATTTAGGTGAAGTTAGTTAAAGTGCATTAACACACGTGCATTAACATACACAGTGTAAAATTAACCCTTTTCCCCAAAAGTGAGTGCAGAGAGAGCACACAGTTCTGGACTGGGACTTGCTAATCATTCTTGCATGTATTTTCATACAAACTAAAACATTTAATATAATGATTGTCATTTCCAGCTGCTCACCACAGGATTAAAATGCTATCACTCAGATTCACACACAGTGGGAACATCTACCTGAGATGATTACTGAGAAGTAGACTAACTCTGCAGTAAACGTTGCATGTCTACATGTATGCCCATTAGGCTGGAGTAAACTAATTGCAGTATTTACAAGTACAACTCAGTCTGCAGTATTTACAAGTACTATCCTGTTCTGCAGAGTTTTTAACTCTGTGGCAGTGCACATGTAGACACTGCCCTGGCTGGCTGGGGCATAAGGGTGCTTCAGTGCGGGGGCTGCCTGCTGGTTATCCATACAGTGGAGCACCCTCATGCCCCAGCCAGCCCCTCTGCAGCATGTTGAACCAGGCAATCCTTGCCCACAGTACGAATCTAGGGACCCACATTAGTTGAAGGGTCATAGGCATATTGGACATAGACAGAAGTTATATTTGTTGTGTGATCGGCTCCCTGCATATGCTCTACAGCCATACAGTGACACACATGCATAGCTCCAGAGCACTTTAAAAGTGGCCAATCATTAACTCTTATCTAATGAGGGATCAGAAGGTGATCCAGAGTGGAGTGCCTTAGGGAACTTCTGTTCCCTAGGGTCAATCTGTCATGCAATTGGGGCTGGGCTGATGCAGCCCAGCCCTGCCCCCAGGGCCATCTGCAGGAAGGGAGGGGGGAAAGGGAGGGGGAGCAAGCTATGGGCTATGGTTTGCTTGACCTGAGCTGGAGGGGGGGCAGGTGGAGCTCCTAACCTTGCATCCCCCTCTAGGCCCTGCAGCTCAGACCCGGCAAACCCCAGCCTGCAGCTTGCTCCCCCTCCCTCTCCCCACTCCCTTCCTGCAGACAACAGCAGAGCTGGGAAGCTGGGGGGAGTGGGGGGAAGGAGCAGGTGAGGGAGGTTGCAAGCAGGCTCCTTGGGCTCAATTGGCTCCAAAGTGGAACTCGATTCCCCACCTCCCCAACTCAACAGGCCAATGTCTGTTGGGTCAGGGGGGCTGCTCTAACTTATGGAGTTTTATGTAGTGCCATGTGTTAGAGCAGGGGTTTGTAATACTGTTAGCACCCATTGTTCCTCCAGCAATATGGAACTAAAGGCAGAAAATAAATTCTTGCTGGCCGCATTAATTTTCCACAGCCCAGTTTGATCCCCACAATGGAGAACTTCAAAGGCAATTCTAAGAGGAGCAACATACATACGGTCTGTGGATTTCCAACTTGTACATGCACATGAAGCAATGGGTGTATGCAATGTATATCTTCCCCAAGAAATCTATATGGCTACATTTTGGGGGGCTTTCCTCAAGTTACCAAAATGTCAGGTTGACAGCACAGGTTCCTTGGAGGAAATGTCTCTTCTTTAACCTTCTCTAATGGCTTATTTGTAGAAGGGATGAATTAGACCCAATGTTTTGTGTCTGTTCATAAAATAAGTAAACCTAGTTTATATGGAATAAAGCTACTTCTTGTTTTGCATCTGAACATGACTGGGCACGCTGGGACTCTGGTCTCATATGGCGCCTGCAAGCACCACTGTTAACATGAATAATAATATGAAGAAGAATAAAAATGCATAGATAGAATTGCTGGAAAATAGTAACTTGTACATGCTACTGTATGAAAACATTCAAGGGCAATAGTCAGCCCAGTGCACTAAGATCTCTCTCAATTTGGGAGTTTCATGAACATCCCCATCTGTGGGGCCATAAATTCCAATACAGTGCACACTGGATGTGAGTGGTGTTAACAGCTTGTTATTGCCTGCCAGTGCCTGTGCTTAACTGAAGGAACAGTTTCTCTATAAATAACCCTGCCCAGTTACCCTTTTCAGAACTTCAGTGATGCCTAATCCTCAAAATAGTTGAATTACATAACATGGTTCTCTAAACATACCTGTTCACCCTGCAAAATCATTTTTTTTTTAACAGCTGTTTTTAGATTAATGCATCCTTCTAGGTTACAACTAAAACTCAGTGTATCATTCCTCTTCTTGAGGTCAACAAATTTATGTTGATTTACAGCAATCAAAGTTCTGACTCAGCAACAGAGAGCATTAAAAAGCATGTGGAAGGTGGTGATACATCTGGCTGTAATGTAAATTGTAAAGCTAAAGTATATAGGCCAAAATGTTCAACAGACCATGCGTTAGGGCATGCAGGACAGGCATGTACAAGCCTGTGTTACATATGAGCATATGCAACCTACATACATTCCTCAGGGAGCAAGTGCAAATGAAATGCTTCACATTTGTAGATTTATCCCAGAAGTTAAGAAGACAAGAGCTAGAAAGATGGTAACTCCCCCTGTGCAATGCTTTGCCTCAAGTACATATGCTAAAATATAACACAGATCTGGAGCTCTGAAATAACTTTGCTGACTGGCTAATCATTTTGGGGCTGCAGGTTGCTGACTGACTTATGTACCTGACAAATGCAGGCCCTGTGCTCTTATCTGATTCAAACTATGCAGGAATTATATGGAAACAAAAAGAGCGTTAAAGTCCTGTAACTTTCTGGAACCAGGAGTATGCATTGCCCAATGTGTTGGCACACTGTACTCACTTTTTGGGACTTCTTCCTGCTAGCCTCCTTGCTCCCACTGGCTCTCCACTGTCTGTACTCTCCCCTGCCATGACCTGATGGAACAAGTAAATGAGGAAAAACCTCTCACAGGTGACCTGGGCATCAGGTCTGTGTCTGGGCTGGGGCCCTCCTGACCTCGACCCAGTTTTATAAAGCTGGGTCTACTAGCTCAGAGCCCACTAGTCAAGTCCACAAGCTTTAGGCACAGTAGGTGCATTGCAGGCTTGAGGCCTGCTACTGCCTTCTAGTCCCGGCTGGCTAACCTCCCAGTCTCTGTCTTCTGCCTTCCCAGTCATGTTTGAGGTTTCAGGTATTTCACAAGCACCCCCTTTCTGTGGTCACCACCTCCCCTACAGCTATAATCCAGACCACCGGGTTGAGGATCACTCACAATCCTGGGCATTGGTTCAACTCAAAACAAAAATGATCTGCCTCAGATTCATCTCGCCTTGGGGCAGCAATGTCCAAGCCACAACCAAAAAACCAAACTAATTCTGGAACTTACCTGGTTCCCAACACAACATCCATGGTCTTCTCCACCCAGCTGCTGCCTAGAGCCACTTCTCTCCAGCTCTGAGTTCAGTTCCTCTGCCTCTCTGCAGGGAGCTCCTTGGCCAGACTGCCTCCCTGGCCTGAGGCTTGAGTTTATAAGGACTGACGCAGGTCACTTGACTCTTCTACTTCTGCCTTGGGTCATCAGGAGCTGACTGCACCCAGAAAACATGAGCAACAATGACCAAAGAATATGGGGAGGGGGGTGGTAAAGAGAGAAAATAAGAGCAAAGGCGGGGGAAAGAGGGTGAGGACCATGCCCAAAGCAGCCAGGGGGACATCCCAAAAGGAAGGGATGACCTGGCAGACCCAAGGGAGGGCAAGGGAGGGAGTGAAAAGGAAGACAAGGGGGTGATGGGAGAGCCCGAGCACTCTTGCCCCTTTAGTAACAAGGTAGGGACCCCGGTACAGGAGACAAACGCTACATACTGTATTTCCCTTGTCCATACAGTGTTGTAATTATGGGTGGATGAGAGGGCACTAGAGGGTGCCAGATTGAGGGCCTCTGGGCAGCTGATGCCACAACAGCAGCAGCCCACACCATATGGTGGGGAGGTAAAACTCTCTGGCACCCTGCCCTGCTCCCCTGTGCTCTCCGGCACTCATCCTCCCCCCACCCCACACACAGGATGCCTCTGCCTCCACAGGATCATCCAGAAGTTGCCCTGTCTCCACACCACTGACAGAGGAGTAGGTGATTGTGAAGACCTGTAGACCTAGTGAACTTTCAATGACACAGACATTATCTTCTTTCTGTGCCCTTTATGCTACTTCACAGAGATGGGAAAAGGCAGAAAGAAGGACATAGCGGGACCAGGGGAGCCAGTGGCACCAGCCATACTGCCAGAGAGAAGAGGGCTGGAGAAGCTATATAAAGGGATTTAAGGGACAGCTTTTTAAAGGTACGGAAACATCTACAGACACAAACAATGTTCCAGAGTCAGTAACTCCATGGGAGTTCATGTTGACCTCTCTTGCTTCCTTCACTAAATGCCAAGTCCTCCCATAAAAATGAAAATGTATTTCTCAGATGCCTTACAAAAGCCTTGATCCTTCAGGTCCTTTTCTGCTGTATGCAGCTGGGTACAGAAGAGGTGGTGGTAGCTATACTTGGGCACAAACAAGTTTAATTTTTAGATATGATTGTGAGGGGCCGAGTGGTTATGCACCTGCTGTCATATGCCCAAATTCACAGAGTAAAACAGACAGGGTCTAGGAATGGGGCTGTCTGAGTGTGCCTGGGCAGATGTGCACTTAAACATGATCCTTATCCTTTCAGGGAGGCATCTAGGCAAACAGTCCACTTCTTGCCTTCACTTCTGAAACTACTGACCATGGGGACCGTGGGGGCCATGAAGAAACATCATCATAAATGCAACATCAAATTTAAAATGAACCTCCCCTATTTTGCAGTACTAGGATAATAAGAAAGCTTCAAAGCATTCCTGGGGATAGAGTTCTCTTACCCATTTTACAGAAGGGTAAATGGAGGCATATGACAATTTTGCCCAAGGTCACAAAGTTGAAAGGAATCTTTAGCAGTGAGAAATACCACTGCCAGGCCCCTGCAGTCATGCACCCCCTGTTTTATAAGGGACAGTAGGTATGCTGAATAACTGTCTGTGTGGCATAACAGTGTTACTGCAAAGATCAAAGGCCACTCTCCCCTTTGGAAGGTGGAATCCTGCATCACAGGTGGCAGAACAAACAGGGCAGGCTGCAGCTTCTCCCTGCTGTAACGTTTAAACAAAAATAATATTATTGTGAAATACAAGCCTAAGGAAGAATAACACGGTAGAGGGAGTGGCCTAATTCCTAAGAAGGAAACAGCATCCCATGATAATATTGCTGGATCTAACCCCCCATCATTTCTCTCCTGTACTGAGGTACATAGATATCAATACTATATGAAAGTCCATTTTCTTCAAGCTTCTAAAATATTCAGTGTTAACATTTTCAATTTAAAACTAATCAAATCTGTCTCATGTTTTGAGCTTTTCAGAAACATTAATATCTAATATATGGGGGACTGGAGGAAATATTTATTTTGAGGGTATAATTTCTTTTCTGCTTAATGTATAGCTATAGTCTTTTAAAACATGAAGTAAAATCTCTTTAAAATATATAAACATTGAATGGCATGACTCTCATTCTTGGGATTGCTGGGAAGCCTCACAATGACAGCTGTTATTGTTGGTGCCAATCCGAACTCCATTTTGTCATGTAATAAAACACTTCTCTGTATTATCTCACTAAAGCAGTATGATAAATACTTTGTCACTGGCATTCACTTACATCCTAGTCCTTTCTGTGACTGTGAAACACAGGTGGTAACAAATCACTCAGCAGCTTCTGTGGCCAGACTGTAAATAGCCTTAAACTAACCAAGTGATCATATCACATCAATATTTATCATCAGTGAACACACATCATACATTTTTGAGTTCCAAGTGCAAGTCATGAAACATTCCAGAGGGTTTTTTTTTTAATTTTTCCATGTTTAGATGAGGCTGCTACTTGTATAGCACTTTAATAAGAGACATTTAAAATTAGCTGAAAAAGGTGGGGAGAGGGAACTGGAAAACATTTTTAAAAAATTATTAAACTCAAGTTTTTGTATGATAGTACTAGAAATTTGGTAGAGCTCAAAATGATCTGTATATTAAGCAGTCAGTCTTGCATGTGATGTAAGAAAGATGACTGTTTTCTGTACTGCTTTTTAAGACCATAGTTATAAAGTAAGTGGTATAGGCTGTGGCCTGTTTTTTAATACATTTGAATAATAACATCTGAATAATAATAAATCAAGGCAAATCAAGACAAGGTTGATTAAAATAACGAGCCCTGGAAAGCCAGATAAGTTTTAAAATCCAGTTTCAAGAGAAGAGGGAATGTCGTAACTCTAGCAAGAAACAACTTCTTTGTGGTAGCAAAAGAATTTCCAGGATTTAGTTTCTGCTGCAATAGGTGAACTATTTCGTTAAAACCAGCTGATGTTCTGGATAAGAAGAGACTAGTAAATATTGTGCCTGGGGTGACCTGTGATATTATAGATAAGTAAGCTTTATGCCTGTACCTGGCAAAGTGGCTGAAATGAGAATAAAGGGAAAATAACTGGAAAACAATGATATCTAACAGGGTCCAACTGTTATGGTTTCTTCAACAGAAAAAAAATCATGCCTCACCAGTCTCTTAAAATTATCTAAACATGCCAATGAAAGAGTGGATAAAGGAGACATGTTTGACAGAATGTATACTTGCAAAAAGCCTTTGACAACATCCCACTCAAGAAGCTAATGAAGATGCTGAGTTTCCGTGGGCTAAGAGGTTATGGATTAAAAACTGGCTAAGATACAAATAGAAAAAGTAGGATTCAAAGGTCAGTTTTCATAACGAAAAAGGTGCCAGACTGGTATCTCATGGTATTATATTAGGTCCTATGTGAGAAAGATGAAAAATTAAAAAAAAATGATAAAAGTAAACATTTTCCACACCGTGTATGGCTAAACATAGGACTCATTGCCAGAGGAAGATGATAGATAACCAGTCTAATTGCAGTGATTTAAATCGGAAAGTGTATTTTCTACAGAGCAGCTAATGCAAGGTAACTGGTGCACCTACCTGCTCTTAATCCACCATAGGTGAGAACAAAACTGGGGCAGTTTACCTCTGACTGCTAAAGAATAAGCAGCCCCAGTCTAGCTTTCAGTTGCCATGAAGTAAGAGCAGAAAGACAGACTGTTACCATATTTAGATGCTGTATGGTAAGTCCCTGCCCCCATTTAACTCATTGCGGTTTGATTATTTGTTTATACCCAAACCTAATCAAGAACTCAACGAAGTGTATAAAAGAGACTGGACATTTATCTTGATCACAAAAATATCCACAGTTGTGAAAATTACTAAAATAAATGTGGAAGGAGTACTACATCTCATGTGTCAGAAGTGAAATCAACCTCTAATCACAAGAGATCAAGATGAGACCTAAAGGGAAAGAAGGGGGAATCACCCCATACTTACCTACCCAGAGGTTCCTATCTCTTTGGAGAGAGGGGTTTGACTCACTGTGGCAATTCTTTTGTTCCTAAGAATATTTCATGCCAAAGTATGCCACCCATTTGAGTCCCAAACTCCCACAAGTTTGGCTTTCATTGATAACAGCTTTTTACAGATATAAAGCATCATGACAGAAAGACTGTAGAACAAGGTATTTAGCAAAGGGAAGAATTTTAATACCTTTACATCAGAATAAGTGTGTCCCTTTGATGCACTTCTCTCTTTTACTTAGGCTTTGGCAGGTCTGATACAAAGTATCATATCTATCTGCTCTGGCACAGCTGATGAATACATGCCTCGCTAAACAAGTTAGTCCATAAAGTGCCACAGTGTCCTGATTTCTGCCTAAATTTGGACTAATATGGCTAACTACTTCTCTCAGCTCTTATCCTGTAAGCCTTGGGTAATGCAACATGGCAGAAGTGCTTTAATAGTGAGTCACCTTATTCTGTATTTTATTAAACTTAGGTATGGGAAGGGTCATTGATGTGTTTCATGTGTTGCATGGGTTCTGACAGCCTGAATAATAGCAGTTTACATAGTTGTGAATAGACATCACTGAATTATGTTTATGGGAATGTCTACATGGTGTGCAGTGCTATGTAGAGGTACCCAAGTTAGCCTGCCCAAGCTAGGAAGCACTAAAGCTATGTTACTACAGTGCTTTGCCCAGGCTAATATGCTCTGTTTCTAAGCTTGCTTAGCAAACTCAGCTATATTTTTTCCTATGTAGTGTACCATTGTACTGTGATGTATAGCCTTGGGGGATCAGCTATACTAAAATACTTTCTGTAAACATATACCCTGTAGCCTCGGTAGTTTCTAATATTTGATTAGGGGCAAGGAATTTACACAAATATATAGCTTGGGTTAGATATGACCAGATATGACTTTTCACAAGGGAACACATTTCAGAGTTTTATGGGGATTTTGGAATAGTAAAATTATTGCTTCTTA